ATCCCAGCCCTTCTTTTCACTAGACTAGACACACCCAATTCCTGCAACTGTTCCCCATGTGTTTTAGCTTCTAGCCTCCTAATCATCTTTGTAGCTCTTCTCTGCACTCTTTCCACCGTATTATAAATACAGTGACCAAAACTGGATGCAGTATTCCAAGTCTTACTAAAGCAGAGTAGGTTTGGTAAGGGGATGAGTGGCAGGTTTAATTGCTAAAGCTGCGTTTAAAAGAGTCGGTTTCTGGATGGGCTGGAGACAGGTTTGCACAAACAATGATCTAATCTAATCTCTAATCTCCAAACACAAATCCAGGAAGCTAATCTGGATGTCGTAACATCTGCATTCAAAAAAATGCCTTAGGTGAGGCTGGTGGTTGGATTTGGACATCACCTCTGGATTACTACCATGGTGCCCACAGACACCTTGATGGGCACTTACCTAAAAGTAAATAGGAAGCAAGCATATTATACAGCTGGTGTGTATTTACAACAATCATGGGATCACAGTTGTGGACTTCACTGCCATCTCCTGATAAGCAAAGTCAATGGGGAAAGTTAGATTTGCTTAACAATCACACAATTCATTTAATGACTGCAGTGATTTGCTTGGCAAAAAAGGTCATAAAACCAGGCACCATTCACTTAACAGCCACCTTCTTTAACAATAGAAATTCTGGAAATTCTGGTCCAAATTGTGGTCATAAGTCAAGGACATCCTATCTGCATCTATGCATGCTATTTTATGCATTTAAATATATTTTCTCAAGAATGCGTCCATCTCAAAAGAGTCTCTGGCAATAAAGACTAAGAATCTCTAATCAAAAACCTTCACTTGTTACCCATTATTGAAACAAACAAACAAACAAAAACCAATTCTTCAGAAAGTGCATCTAATTATTTGAATTATCCTATCCGGGAAGGACTTGTTACTATCAACATGCAGCGGAAAGAGCTAACTTTTTTTGTCCATCAACTTTAAAAAAACACAAGCCCTGTGACTAATAAGGCAGGAATCTCTCTCTTTCTCTTTTTTCATCCTTAAAATGATGAGTCAGTATAAAAAGCAACTAGCTTAGAACAGCAGGTGTTGATCAAATCTAATAACCTTCTCAATGCCATACAACAGCAAAGGAAATGATCCGCTCAAACAGATTGCAAAGTGCACACTGAATCATGAGACATCCTGAGGTGATCTGTGGGCCCACCTCGCCCAGTTGTTCTAAGTATCAACCGAATGGCTGTACAATTTGCTATTTTCATCTATTTCCTAGGCTAAGCTAGGTAGGTAGGTAGGTAGGTAGGTAGGTAGGTAGGTAGGTACAGACAGATGTAGAGAATAGATGTTAGATATAGATAGATACAAAACAGATGATAGATTGATAGAAACAGATAATAAACAGATATATAGTAGATAGATGATAGACAACAGATGATAGAGACAGATATAGTAGATAGACAGTAGATAGATAGATAGATAGATAGATAGATAGATAGATAGATAGATAG